ACAAATATATAAAATCGAAAGAGTAAAACAACAAAAAGAATCAATGAAAGCAGGAGCTGGTTCTTTAAGAAAAATCAACAAAATAGATAAAACCCTAGTAAGACTTACCAAGAAAAAAAGAGAGTCTACACATATAAACAGAATCAGAAATGAGAAAGGAAAAATCACTATGGATACCACAGAAATACAAAGAATTATTTGAGAAAACTACGAAAAATGACATGCTAACAAACTGGATAACCTAGAAAAAATGGACAACTTTCTAGAAAAATAAAACTTCCAAGACTCAACCAGAAAGAAACAGAAAATCTGAATAGACCAATTACTAGCAATGAAATTGACCTGGTAATCAAAATATTACCTAAGAACAAAACTCCTGGACAAGATGGCATCACAGCTGAATTTTATCAAACATTTAGTGAAGATCTAATACCCAACCTTCTTAAAATTTTCCAAAAACTAGAAGAGGAGGGAATACCTCCAAACTCATTCTATGAGACAATCATCAGTCTAATACAAAATTATGCAAAGACACCCCAGAAAAGAAAATTACAGACCAATATCCCTGATGAACACAGATGCAAAAATACTCAACAAACTATCAGCAAAACAAATTCAAAAATACATCAAGAAGATCATCCATCATGATCAAGAAGGATTTATTCCAGGGATGCAAGGATGGTACAATTTTGAAAATCCATCAACATCATACAACCACATCAACAAAAAGAACAAAAACCACATGTTCAACTCCATAGATGCTGAAAAAGCATTTGACAAAATTCAATATCCATTCATGATAAAAACTCTCAACAAAATTGGTATACAGGGCAAGCACCTTGACATAATAAAGACCATATATGACAAACCCACAGCCAACATTATACTTAACAGCGAGAAGCTGAAAGCTTTTCCTCAAGATCAGGAACAAGACAAGAATGCCCACTCTCCCCACTTTTATTCAACATAGTTCTGGAGGTCCTAGCCACGGCAATCAGACAACACAAAGAAATAAAAGGCATCCAGATTGTCAAGGAAGAAGTTAAAACTGTCCCTGTTTGCAGATGACATGATATTGTACATAAATATCCCTAAAGAATACACTCCAAACCAACTAGATCTAATATCTGAATTCAGCAAAGTTGCAGGATACAAAATTAATACACAGAAATCTGTTGCATTCCTATATATTAATGATGAAGAAGCAGAAAGAGAAATCAGGAAAACAATGCCATTCACAATTGCATCAAAAAGAATAAAATACCTAGGAATAAACCTAACCAAGGAAGTGAAAGACCTATACTCTGAAATGTACAAGACACTCATGAGAGAAATTAAAGAAGATACCAATAAATGGAAACACATCCCATGGTCATGGGTAGGAAGAATTAATATTGTCAAAATGGCCATCCTGCCTAAAGCAATCTACAGGTTCAATGCAATCCTTTTCAAAATACCAACAGCATTCTTCAACGAACTAGAGCAAATAGTTCTAAAATTCATATGGAACCACAAAAGACCCCAAATAGCCAAAGCAATCCTGAGAAGGAAGAATAAAGCTACAGGGATTACGCTCCCTGACTTCAAGCTCCACTACAAAGCCACAGTAATCAAGACAATTTGGTACTGGCACAAGAACAGGACCATAGACCAATGGAACAGACTAGAGAGCCCAGATATAAACCCAAGCATAAATGGTCAATTAATATACGAAAAAGGAGCCATGGATATACAATGGGGAAATGACAGCCTCTTCAACAGTTCGTGTTGGCAAAACTGGACAGCTACATGCAAGAGAATGAAACTGGACTATCTAACCCCGTACACAAAAGTAAACTCAAAATGGATCAAAGACCTGAATGTAAGTCATGAAACTATGAAACTCATAGAAGCAAACATAGGCAAAAATCTCTTGAATATAAACATGCGTAACTTTTTCCTGTACACATATCCTTGGGCAAGGGAAATAAAGTAAAAAATGGACAAACGGGACTACATCATGCTAACAAGCTTCTGTACAGCAAAGGACACCATCAGCAGAACAAAAAGGCATCATACAGTAGGAGAATATCTGCACATGACATATCCGACAAGGGGTTAACATCCAAATATATAAAGAACTCACACGCCTTAACACTGGAAAAGCAAATAACTGTATTAAAAAATGGGTGGAGGATATGAACAGACAATTTTCCAAAGAAGAAATTCAGATGGCCAACAGGCACATGAAAAGATGCTCTACATTGCTAATTATCAAGGAAATGCAAATTAAAACTACAATGAGATATCACCTCACACCCAGTTAGGATGGCCAACAGAAAAGACTAAGAATAACAAATGCTGACAAGGGTGTGGAGAAAGGGGAACCCTCCTACACTGCTGGTGGGAATGTAAATTAGTTCAATCACTGTGGAACACAGTGTGGAGGTTTCTCAAAAAACTAAAAATAGAAATACCATTTGACCCAGGAATCCCACTCCTAGGAATTTACCCTAAGAATGCAGGAGCCCTGTTTCAAAAAGACATATGAACCCCTAAGTTTACTGTACCACTATTTACAATAGCCAAGAAATGGAAGCAACCTAAGTGTCCATGAGTAGGTGAATGGACAAAGAATGTGGTGGTAGATACATGACTGTACAACTTTGAATTCATTGTGTATAGTTAACTGCATACAGGATTTTATATATCTAACTATAACCCAAAAAGGGTGAAATGTACCTATGGTTGATTTCAGTAAACCTGATACATCTCTAATCACATATACACAATGGAATATTATTCAGCCATAAGAAGAAAACAAATCCTACCATTTGCAACAACATGGATGGAACTAGAGGGTATTATGCTCAGTGAAATAAGCCAGGCAGAGAAAGAAAAGTACCAAATGATTTCACCCATCTGTTGGGCATAAGAACAAAGCAAAAAATGAAGGAACAAAACAGCAGCAGATTCACAGAACCCAAGAATGGACTAAAAGTTGCTAAAGGGAATGGTACTGGGGGGGCTTGGTAGGAAGGGAGGGAGAAGGGGAATAAGGGGCATTATGATTGGTACACATAATGTAGGCGGGTGGCACAGGGAAGGCACTATAGCAACAGAGAAGACAAGCAGTGACTCTATGGCATTTTACTATGCTGATGGACAGTGAGTGTAATGGGGTATGTGGTGGGAACTTGATATTTGGGGGAATCTAGTAACCACAATGTTGCTCATGTAATTGTATATTAATGACACCAAAATTAAAAAAATAAATAACTTTATCAAAACTAAAAACTTCTGCTCTCCAAAAGATATTGTAATAAAAATGACAAGGCAACCCAAAGACAGGAAGAGTATTTGAAAAACATGTATATAGTAAAGGATTGAAATCCAGAATATATAAAGAACTCTTTCAATCAATAAGAGGAAAACAAACTAATTAAAAATTACATAACGATTTGAAAAGACAGTTTAATCTGATAAGCAAGATGAAAGGCAAATAGGCACACCAAAAAATACTCAAATTCACAGTCACTAATGAGATGCAAATTAAAACCACAAGATGCTAATACACATACTTTAAAATGGCTAAAATCAAACAGATAACACAAAATTACAGAGAGAACACAGAGCAACTCAAATTGTCATCCATTTCTGGTGGAAATGCAGTATGAAACAGATGCTCTGTAAACCAACTTGGCTCTTTCTTATAAAAATGCAGTATGATACAGATGCTCTGTAAACCAATTTGGCTGTTTCTTATAAAATTAAACATCTATTATATGGCTGTAGTAGATATTTACCGAAAAGAAATGAAAATGTTATGTTCACAACAAAATCCGTACATACATATTTGTAGCAGCCTTATTCATAAGTGTTTAAACTGGAAACCCAAATGTTTAGTAACTGATGCAGGGACAAACTGTGGTACATCTACATAATGGAATACTACTCAGCAATAAAATGAAATCAATATACAAAAATATGGACAAAACTCACATTCATTGTATTTAGTAAAAGAAGTCAGACTCAAAAGGCTACATACTGCATGGTTCCATTTACATGCCATTCTGGAAAAGGCAAAACTGGAGTGGTTGCCATGGTTTGGTTGGAGAAAGACAAGATTAAAAGAGGCACGAGGGTATTTGGCATTATGGAAATGTTTCATATCTTGATTGTGGTGGTAGATACATGATTGTACAACTTTGAATTCATTGTGTATAGTTAACTGCATACAGGATTTTATATATCTAACTATAACCTAAAAAGGGTGAAATGTACCTATGATTGATCTCAGTAAACCTGATACATCTCTAATCACAATCTTCTCTTTAATCACAGACTTTATCAATCCATGTCTAGCTTTTCCTGTTTTTTTCTATAACCACTAAATATGCATAAAAGGTTTTCCACTGATTGCTAGTGATTCAATGTTTTCAGTATATTTAGCATTTCCTTCTTTGTTTTAATTATATTACTTCTTACCATTACTAAGACTTTTACTTTCTTTTTATAAAATAAGAAAAACACTAAATTTTCAAATAAATGCACAAAAACTGCTACTTTGATATCTGAAAACAAAACATGAAAAAAACATTTTTAGATGATATATCCAAACATGGTATGTGAAACGCAATTAAAGAGATATGAACATATAATGTATAAAAGAGATGATTCATAAGAAAGCAAATGACTTTGCATATAGTAAGTTTTAGTGGGTTAACAAACCAAATAAATCAGAAGAGATAATACTAAAAATTAAGCAGTACAGCAAATAGGAACTCCTATATGACACATGCTGTTCCAAGTACTTAACAAAATTACTAATCACTTAATGTTCACAAAAACCCTATGAAGTAGATTAACCTGTTTATAGATCCATTTATAGATTTATAAACTGAAGCAGAAAAAAGTAATTTGCTTACTCTAAGAGTAAGCAAGTAGAAAAGCCAGAATTTAAAGGGTGAAGCACATTAACTTATAGAATATTTATGTTACACATTTTTTTTAATATTCACCTTCTCCTCCAAGGCTTCACTTACAGATTTTGCTAGTTGCAAAAGCTCTTGTGAATCTTGTTGGCATCTAGGATTTGAAACAAAACACCCCAATTTCAATTTTTCCAATTCCTATAAACAGTAAGTCGTGCTCAAAACTAAAATGTAAGAGATTGTTTCAAAAAATGTGGAATTTTGCCAACAGGTAGCAGAAAGTGCTTCACTGACTTGAAAGTAATGGTTTATAAATACATTACTTCAAAAAGGATAATATATAAATAAAATTTGATTTTAAATATACAAGGCAAACATCTTTTGCAACAGTACTTCTGACTTAATAGGCTAGATAGTAAATACATAGTGGATTCATAGTTCAATAATTCTCATATTTTTAATTTAATAAATTATAGCTTTGAAGACTTCAAAATTAGAAAATTCTTATTTAGCATGGTTCATTTTATAAACTGATCTCTCCACCTCCATCAGGAAAAAGATCAGAAGGTCATAATAAACATTTATAGTTTGGTGTATCTACTGGTGTTGCAATCTTTTAATTAGTTACTTTAAAATTTTTTCATCTATAATTTCTGAAATACTGTTTTTATGGTAAGCAAAAAAGTTATTTCAATAAAAAACATTACCCAATATTTGGCTTGCGACTATAGTTCTCCTGAAACTGGTCCAAGGCAAGCATAGCTGCATGAATCTGTAAAGGTGCCTGTTTACAACATTAAAAATTGGTCAATACCTGTTGAGTTGATAATATGTGCCAGGCACTGTGCTAATGCTTTTAAAGTATTATTTAATTTAATCCTTAAAATAAATGAATTAGCTTGATACTATTATCTCCATTTAATAGATGAGGAAGCTAAGGCTTAAAGAATTTAAATTACTTGACTTTAAGGCCATAAAGCTACATTTAATAGCAAAAGAGCCAAATTTCAATCTCAGAGATAAAAACCTAGTTTTTACTAGGTTATTCATATAAAGCTTAGAGCTTTAACAGCTAAGAAAAAGCAACAAAATACTTGTGCAAAATTACCTAATTTTTTTTCTTTATCAACATTTACAAATTTGGAAACTATTAATGTAGTTCTTTCCTTATCATAAATGTATTCATTAACTGCTACAAAATTATATCCAGTGATTTAAAACATAGAATAAATGTTTCTAAGGTTTTTTGGGAAGAAATCTGTATTATATAAACCTATATGGTTCAGAAAATCGTTTAGTAAGATCACCTTTGCATAAATTATTGAAATTGTCTTTTAGCTATCAAAGCTAGCATATATAAAAGCAAAATCTTTTACCTATTATTCTAACACTTTCCTATAATATAAATTTCTGTTTTCAATCCTTGGGAATCAACTCTAGATATATGAACACAATCTTTAAAAAAATGTTTTTACAGAAAGATAAATACATGGCTACCCTGTTTTAACTGTATTATCTCTTACCAATCCCCATTCCCCACTCTGTTGTCTCTTTCAAACCTACAATGTTTATTCACCTCAGGTTTGCTAAAATCTGCAATAAGACACTTAGGACGTTTTATCTGCCTTTCCAATGGCTCCTAGTAGAAAAAGAAACAGAAACAAAAACTGTTACATTCAGAGCCAGTGAGTGATTTCTTGAAAAAATATACAGAGCAATAAAACTCTCTCAAAGGTCTAAAATAAATAAGTTTGGACTAATACGTCTTAACTGAAATAAAAAATAACTATCACTCCCCATGTTGCTCCTTATAACACACTTTATTTTTTTTAATGTTAAAGGCAATTAGACAACCTGCTGCATTTAGTAAATTTGGGAAAAACTGGAGAAAACGTCAGTATATTTGAAAAAATTCTATTATTTTAACTGAAAGGCTACCATATTTTTCTGATATCATGTTATCAAAACTTGTTATGCCTGGTAAGACTTCAATACACACTCAAAGTTAAAATTTTCTGTGTGAGCAAAAAAAACATGAAGGCCAAAAAAACCCCCAAACCTCACCCAATCTGAAATTTCCTTGAGGCATAATTAAAAATTGGGGACAGTACCAAGACTAAAGCAATGCAGGGGCAGATTTGACTAGATATAGTATTCTAATTTGTTTTGTTCTAACTTTGACTTAGACAAAGCCTTGTACTGGACTATGGTTAACAACTTTCCTGGTAAACAAAAGGCAATCAAGTTAAAAACTTCATTTGTAGGAAACAAAAGATATATTAACTTATACTAGTAGTCAAAGGATTTAAGCAGGAGGAGACTTCTTAGCTCCTTAATACAAATAACATCTACCTTCTCCTTATTCAAATATTTGTTTTCCTTTTAATGTGTTTATAGGAATTATTTTACATTTCCAACATATACTATTCCTTGAAATTAAAAATGTTAAAATTTAACCTGTATTAACAAGTTTGATAAAAAGAAATATACTTTTAACTTAAAAAATATAATTAATTGAATAATAAAACATACACATTTTTCAATGTTTGCTAAATCTTTCAAATATGTATTAGTTTTATCATTTGTTTTAGGAAATAATTTAAGGAGTATGAATAACTCTTCGGTGATTCACAAAGGTAGTTTCTTTGAGGTAATCTATATACCTCAATTATATGCATTGATATTCTGGCTGTAAATTATTTTGTTAATGTGAGTTTATTTCCTTAGATTGATACCATTTTCCTCAAAGCAGGTGCAAATTAAAAAACAAAATCTGGCCTTTAAATTAACTATTTGGTTAACTATTTTATTTCCTTTTCTCTTCTGCTACTATTCTATGAGTAAATTTTTTTTAAGCAGAAAAAAAAAATACTTACAAAGCAAAATGTTTTAGAAGTCTTAACTTGGACAGCTATGCCTCCATGTAAATAAGGTTCCAGTTCTGTAGTATCACCAATGCTAAAAGAAAATGGTGATACCACTACAAGAAAAAAATAAAGAAAATCATTATATACTGATATAGCTATTTAAATTAGAAGATTTATCATCAAAAAGATGTTAATTTTCCCTAATTTACAGAATTAAATAGATCCCACTATAAATTTTTTTGTAGGGGAGAGGAAGAAGTATGGATAGCTAGAAGATGATTTTTCCAAAGTGAACTTAAGAACTTAAACAAAAATAGCCAAGAAAACTCAGAGTGGGGAGGGAGGGAAGGTAGTGACAAAGGCTTATTATTAGACATTAAAATATTTTGTAAAGCCTCAACACTTAATTTACTGGTATTAGTTATACATATTTAGTAATAATACAGAGTGGTACTAGCTCACGAGCAGACAAGGCAGATAAACAGAAGGGATGCGAAAATTCAGAAATAGACTCACAAAGGACACAATTAAGTGGCACCTCAAATCAGTAGGAAAAGAAAATTATTTAATAAATATTTTGGGGAAAAAAGCCATCGGGAAGGCATTTAATCCAAATGGCTAACAATTTTAAGTGTCAAAAAAGATGCCAAAAAATTATTAGATAAAAGCATGGGAGAAAAATTCCTTTAAAACTTTGCAGTAAGGAAGGTTTTTCTAATCATGATTCAAAGTAAAAGCCATAACAGAAAAAAGTTGAAAAACTTGGTATTATAAACACACAGTAAAAACATTTAGAAGCAAAGTCAAGTGCCAAACAAAATATGGCATATTTGCCAGGTTTTAAAATATGACTTGCAGATATGTATTTTTTTTTCCAGGGAATGGTTAAGAAAATGATCAACAATTCAACAGGAAAATGGGCAAAGAATAGATGACTAACATTAAAGGAAAAAAACAGCTCTGAAACTAAAGATGTCTAATCTCATTCATAATATATAAAATGCAAATCAAAATTATACTTATGCCATTTTTATTCACACCACAAAATATTATGCAGCATTAAAGAAAATTTAAAAAGAGGAAAAAAGATGTTCCACAATTATTGATGTTTTCAGAAGATCATCTAGATATTTTGTTTAATGGAAAGGCAAAGGACAGCACTATGTGTAATATGATACTTTGTGTATAAAAAAGCGTAAGAACACCCAGAGGGAGACACACTAAACTAAAAACAGTAGATGTGTGAAAAGTGAGTGGGAGCTACAAGTAGGGAGAAAATTTTCACTTTCAACATTTGCCCTTAATTATTTTTGAACCTTTTGCTTATTCAAAAAAATTAAATAAACAGTAAACTGTGTCCCCACAAACGTCATGTTAGGTGGAATGAAAAGGTCAGCAGGGTAATATCAAACTTAGCTGCTATTATCTCTGGAGAGGGGAGAAGGTCTGAAGTAGTTCTAATTTTTAAGTCTACTTAAATATATACACATACATGTATTATCTAGTATGAACATTTGTTATTTAGCTATTTAAAAATGTTCTTCAAATAACAGAGTATTACTGTAAAGCAGTAAATACCAACTGATAAATGTTAAGGAAAAAAGTTTTATTAATGTTCACCCTACTTAAATATTCTCTCTCCAACCAAGTAATTTTTGGTACAAAATGTGGTTTTATTTTCATTCCTTTTTATTCCATGGGTCCTCCTTTTATATGTAGCCTCAAGATTCTGAGCCATTATGACAACCAACCATTGCACAGAGCCCAGAATAACAAATGATAATCCTACATGATTAGTTGAGCCAACTTTCATAGGAACATACAAATTCTTTAATACCAATGATCTGAACCTGTACTTTACATTTTTTTAGGTACAGTCTGGGAAACAAAATCCAATAGTTTTGTTATGAAAGATGTTTAATTACAGATTCAAAATTGTTTTTCCATAAAGAGATTGTAACAGGCACTCATTTTTTTCTTATCCCTTTTCAGTCTTTAAAAGAAAAAAAAGTAAAGCATTTTACTAGTCTATACATTAATCATATTTATACTTTCAAATGCCTTAAAGATAAAACTGAATCACTTTCAGCTGAACAGTTATAAATATGCCATCTTTGAGTTACAGAATATCTAACAATATCTTTAAGTCTTTTAAACAAGGCCGGAGGAATATCATAAACTATGCAGACTAAAGCTGCTACAAATTCATTACCTTCAACTTCTAATGGGCCCTAAATGAAACCTGATAATCTTTCTAATTTTTAAAAATGTTTACTCTCTTCAAATCTCTGGCCTTGCCACCTTTCTTCTCTGGACAATGATCTCATCTTAGTCCACTAAAAAAACATTCCTTCAACTTCTTCCCAATAAACCCACAAACTGCTTGCAGTAACATCTATCCATTCCTTTCATCCAAGTCACTGAACAAAAAACATGTATCTCTACTTGACTACTTCATTGCCACCTCACTCAACAAGCCTAAAGTACTCATTATCTTCTCTCCAAAACATGCTCCCTTTCATGCACTCCCTAAATGAATACGTAAGTGGTTCATGTTGGAATCTTTGTTCACCTACCATATGAGATAACAAAGTATCCTCCTAAATGTCTTAGGACTCTTGCTGTATCAACTCTCACTGTCAGCCCTGCCATATTAGCTTTTAGTTTCTTGGATTCTGTCTTGCCTCTTAATGTCTCTGCACAGAATATCTCTTCACTGCCTTCCTAAACCAATGCAATCTTCAAATTTTAATCAAGACACTCTAAACCCAACTGCTGCTGTGCCAAAACTGGGTAGGTTTCCTGCTAAGTTTAGAGTTTCGAGTGCCTGTACTCTTTTTATAGCATCGTACATGTTAACATCTCCTCACTTGGATTGAATGTTTTGAGGCCACGGACTGGATCATGCTTGAGTTGATGTGTTCTTAACAGTGAATACAGTGCCTGACTGTAAATCTGCTGAATGAATAAGTATAAATGAATTAATGAATTTACCAGTTATTTGTTGTGTAGATCCATTTAAGCCTGTCATTCCATTAATTTCTCGAAATGTTAGGAATTGTCCTGTTTCAAGTTTGTGAGGATGATTCTCAAGGCAAGTAACAATGCCAGGATTAGCCTAAAAATAAAAGTAAGCTAAAAATAAGTTCAAGTATTCTTTATTCACGTAAATTTCAAATTTCACACAAAAATGACAGTCACCATAAAATTCTCAAAATAACCAAAATTCTAAGCAACTCCCCTCCTTCCTCAGTAAAAATAAGCCTTTAAAAATTGTCACAAAATAGTGGTACTTTATATTTTATTACAAATGCTTAAAATATAATCTTTATGTGTGGGGGAGACAGAGGTTCTATATGTAGTACAAGTATTTCATAGAATCAAAGATTCTTGTGACTTACAAGAAACATTCAAAGTCATTGAATGTTAAGCTTTAGTCATGTTATACAAAAATTGTGCATAAAAGATGAGAGTCTAACTTTGAAGACCAAGAAATGTAAGAAAGGAGAAGAGAAATTTTAAGTCAAGAAACTGGAAGTTTGAAGCTTGCCAAACAACCAAACAATTTAAAGCAAAAAAAAATTGTGCAGCCCAGCTTATCAGGATAAAAATAGGAAAAAATTAGTTTATCGCACTAAAGATGAAGAATGAGATAGGTCATAAGGCTGGGAAACTTCCTAACTGCATAAAACCCAATACAATGCTTGAATAAGGTATAATTTAATCTACATAAAACCAAAAGGAATTATCATTTTCTCTTTTATAAGTGTGTAGATTCTAAAAATTCTCTTGCTGCTTAATAATCTGGATAAGAATCATAAGATTATGGTTATAAACATGTAGATAAAATTAATGTAATGTGGGTTTACACATATCTCAAGAAGAAAAGAATTCACAGAACATATTAAGAGAAATAATTTATAGGTAAGTGGGAATATTTATGGTATTTTCTAATCCTTTATGGATAACTGTATTTCCTGCACTGTTCAATAGAATACTAATGCAATACAAGAATCCATAATATCCTTTAACGCTTACTCTAACTCTATGATATTTTCAGTGACAAACTAAAAACAACTACAGAAGATAAAAGGTTGAATAATAAGCCACTCTGTAAGCAGGGAGATAAACAGAATAATTTTTCAAAGGATTACTCTTAAAAAAGAGTCAAAAGCAAACATTATATTGGGCTTATTAATGAAGCATAAAGGAGCACAGATATTATTAGGTCAAAGTATATTATCATTCCTTTGCATTTGGTTTCTTTTGAACTTTGAGATAAACTGAATATAAAGAGTACAAATAATGATTTAGGCTAAAAAAAGAGCTAAAATGCATAGTGATTTTTCCAATTCTTTTAGAGAATAAAAAATTAGGTTTACATGATATCAAGAGAATGTAGTTAGACACACACAGTTCAATAAACACTGAATCATAATTCATGTTCCTAGGAACATGACATAGAACAAAATTAAAATAAAAATGCTTGACATAAGCAAATATTGATCCATCAATTATTAAATAATGTTAGAAGGAATTTAGAATACCCTTCTAATAGTCTAACACCATTTAGCTTTAATATAATGCAATCAAGAAATTAAAACATTTCCTCACCTTAAAATATCATACAGATGAAAATTACAGTAAAATAAATTGCATATTACAATATTTTACTAATGCCACCTTTTAAAAAATAGCATTCACATCAAATTTAAAAATTAATTATATACATACTTGTGTTATATTTGAGATGAAAATTTCTTTTGGGTCTTCTCCTGTTGTATCTAAAACTTCGAATTCATCACCAAAATCACAAAACAACCGTGACCAAATTCCATGTATATCTGCACTGATGAACTGTCAAGGGATAAAAACAAGTTCAAGATTATATATATAAAGACAAATACTATTTTAACTATCTTAGGCCCTTTTGTGAACTCTTTCATTTATAATTAAGTATATCTTTTGGATATAAGTGAATTATGAATAGGATCAATTATTTGTCTGTAAATTGGTTTATGTGTCAAGGATTCTGGGATTAGGAACTGGATGCCTATGTCACAAAATCTGAAGCACCATCAGCACACTGCATCACTACACATTCTACAATTTTTAAATAACAAGAACTCCTGCCTTGCCTTAAAAATCAAGTGCGGTATATGAGAAACAGGCATCTTTATTTAATGGTCTAGCAGTGAATTCTTCTCATTTTAGGAAAGAAAAGAGTATCCATTCATAAAAGGTGATAGTTAATGGAAAACAGAACAGAGCTAGAAGCTGAGAGCAGAGTCAGCATTAAAGGGGCTGAGAAATTAACAGTGCACAACAATGTTATGAAAGGTGAAAATCAGATTTTTATACACATTTAGTGTAGTAAGATGGACAGTGACTGCAATGGAGTATGGGAGTGGGGGGAACTCAATAATATGAGTGCATGTAGTAACCATATAGTTTTTCACGTGAAACCTGCATAAGAGTGTATATCAATGATACCTTAATAATAACAAAAACTTACAATTTATTAGAAATGACTTTTATAACACATACACTCCAAGAATCTTTAAAGAAAATTTTTGTGCTTGAAATTACTTTGAGTTATAGATAATAAAGAAAAATTCTTATTCTTTAGCACATATGATCCTATGTAAGTGATATTTTTCTAACAAAAACTAAAGTCTATTAATATGTGTGTATAAGAATGCAGCCCATTAAGACAATTTATACCACCTATTAGATGTAGTGAAACAGTTTATCGAAGACTACCTCCTACTTGATCATGTATTGCCTTTACTATCAAAATAGGTACATACATTGTGTATATGTACCACATCTTCTTTATCCATTCATCTACTGATGGACACTTAGGCTGCTTCCATTTCTTCGCTATTGTAAATAGTGCTGTGATAAACATAGGGGTGCATCTGTCTTTTTCAAACTGGGCTGCTGCATTCTTAGAGTAAATTTCTAGAAGTGGAATTCCTGTGTCAAATGGTATTTCTATTTTGAGCTTTTTGAGGAACCTCCATACTGTTTTCCACAATGGTTGAACTAATTTACATTCCCACCAACAGTGTAGGAGGGATTCCTTTTCTCCACAACCTCCCCAACTTCAGCCATAAGAAGAAAACAAATCCTACCATTTGCAAAAACATGGATGGAGCTAGAGCATATTATGCTCAGTGAAATAAGCCAGGCAGAGAAAGACAAGTACCAAATGATTTCACTCGTATGTGGAGTATAAGAACAAAGAAAAACTGAAGGAACAAAACATCAGCAGAACCACAGAAGGCAAGAATGGACTAACAGTTACCAAAGGGAAAGGGACTGGGGAGGATGGGTGGGTGGGAAGGGAGGGATAAGGGTGGGGAAAAAGAAAGGGGGCATTACGATTAGCATGTATAATGTGGTGGTGGGGCACCGGGAGGGCTGGGCAAAACACAGAAGACAAGGAGTGATTCTACAGCATCTTACTACATTGAAAGACAGTGACTGTAATGGAGTTTGTGGGGGAGGATTGGTGAAGGGGGGAGCCTGGTAATTGTGGATTAATGATAACAACGATAAAAATAGGCACACACAGCATTTTCTATCAGACATAAAACTGAG